TAAAAAAGGAAAAACTTGTACCATTTGCAACAGCATGGATGGGACTGGAGAGCATTATGCTAAGCGAAATAAGCCAGTCAGAGAAAGATAAATATCACATGATCTCATTCATATGTGGGATATAATGAACAACATAAACTGATGAACAAAAACAGATCCAAAGACAAGGTAACACTGAACAGACCGTCCAACCTCAGAGAGAAGGCAGGGGAGGGAGGCGTTAGAGATCAACCAAAGGACTTGTATGCATGCATATTAACATAACCAATGGACACAGATACTGGGGTGGTGGGGGCTTGTCCTGGAAAGTAGGAGTGGTGGGGGGTAGAGGGGAGGTCAATCAGGGGAAAAAGGAGACATATGTAATACTTTAAACAATAAAAAAAAAAAAGACTAATGACGTTGCTATTGGCTGCTAAAATATTCACTGCTATTATTAGTGGAGAGAAATGGTGTGCCTGCGAGTAAAGAAAATGAATGCAACATGATTATAGTAATCAGTCATTAGTGAACATTGTAGTTCAGTATTAATAATTATGTATAACAGGATATCGTAATAATTAAGTTACAAAATTTTTATTAAAACATTTCTTACATACCATTATATTGGCTGGGCCACAAAAACATTTGTTGGAGGCTGCTAGTTTGACATGCTTGGTGTAAATATTGCATTTTTATCTGACTTCTTTCAAAGTCAATGACAGAAGAGCTGAATATTAACATTACTAATTAAAATTAAAGGAATGAGAATTCAAATGTATTGGAGGATATAAGAAATGGGAATTTAGAGGGACACTGAAATTGAAATTATTTAAGTTAGCTATTTAGAAAAAAAAAAGGACAACTGTCATAAAAATCATAAATAAAAGGAATCATGGAAATAATCTGCTCAATTCAGTGAGAAAAATACAGAAATAAGTTTTCCCTTGCGTCTTTTCCCTTTCCCTCTTGTACTACTTTCTTGAGGACAGAAAGACATGTTTTGTTTTTTCACCAGGGCAGAATGTACTATCCCAATTGGCAGGGAGAGCTAGACACAGCACAGTCATCTACTCATTTCCCATTCCCTTCCTCTCTCAACCTTCTCTGAGGTTAAGCCCCTAATGTATCTTTAACTCCTTACAAGACACCGGCAGTACCCATAATTGAAGCAAAAGTATAAAGCCTAGTTATTTGAAGGGGAAGAAAGTAGAGCATCATCTTCAGACATTTAAAAGTCTTTGTTCCTCTCACAAACCTTCTCAAGAATTGCCAAAATATATTAGCTCTAGACTTCAATTAATTCTGCCACCGATTGCTTTGCATTCCTAAGTGACTTATTTCTATTTGGTAGAGTAGCCTGTCAACTTATGTGCGAGAATGGAATAAAAGGAAAAGGCAGAGAAAAGGAAAGGTTACTAGTATATGAATGACCCAATAATACAGTTCAAAATATGCCCTTCTTTTGATTAAATGTAAATCATATTTCCTAAAACAAAAACAAAAAAAGAAGCCAACTGTTGCTTATTTGGGAAAAACTAAGCTCCAGAGAGTTGCTTTTACAAAGAATATCAGCTGGTTTCTTATTTGTTTGTTTTCAACTCAATACACAATTACTTAGCACATATAATTTATGAAGGACTGTATTACATACAGTGGAGGAATACTGAGGTGAATAAAACTCTTTCCCAGAAAAGCAACACTTGATGGGTATTTACAGATTTGATCTGAGTTGTTGGGTTTTTTAAAAATCTGGTTTTATTGATTTTTGGGAGAGGGAGAGGGGGGGAGAGAAAAACATTAATGTGACCGAGAAACATCGATTGGCTGCTTCCTACATGCACTCTAACTGGAGATAAGAGTCTTAACTTGGGCACGTGCCCTGACTGGGAATTGAACCAGCAACCTCTTGGTGCACAGGACGACACTCAACCAACTGAGCCACACAGCCCAGGATTAATATAAGAAAGTTTTATGTCTTCTACTGACTGCTCAGAATTGTGTAACTGTTGGATAAAATTTGAGGTCTTCCATATCAAGGATGAACACACAGGTTTGTTCCATTATTAAGATATTAAAAGAAACCTCACCTTAAGGATACTACCTAATTATATATATTAATAATCCATAATTTGAGAGCCATTACTCAGTGGGACTCACAAACCAAAAAAGTTTCAGACCTACTACATGGTGGAAATAATCTGCTGCATTTAATAGTGAGTACATGGAGAATAGGGAACTGTGTCTTATTTAATATGAAGAGCCACTGCCTAGCAAAGTACCTATACATGCCTATTTAATGACTCAATCAGCAAAGAGTAATAAGCAGTATTAAACCAATATACAAAGTACTGATGAAAATCAAGATGTACTAAGGGAATATACAATCTGAGAGTTATAGACTGCTTATCTACTAAAATTAATAAACTGTTTTTAGGGCAGATAAAGAAAGTCAAAAACACTAAGCCACAAGGAAACAATAATTTGTAGAATTTGAAATTTTTTACAAACCTTCCCTGCTGTCTGCCGATCGCTTTTAAAAATTATAGTCTCCTCATTAACTGGAGGTAGTTTAGGCATAGATTCAATTATTACTGAAAAATGAAACAAAACAGATTATTTCAAGATTTAATCAGGAGGTAATATAGAATTTAAATGAGAATTTAGGCTTTAATATGAAATTTAAGGTGAAATAATATGCCACAGTAACTATGCCTCATGGATAAACAAATTCTATTTATTAAACATAGCACAGTGAAATAGATTCTACATATTTTTATTTAATACAAAAAGCTAAAATTCTAAGAAAGAAAATTAAAGTATAAAATCTCACAGAAAATTTGACTCACCCATTAAAATCAACAAATTCAAGCCATGTACATTTTCTCAAGCAATTTTTACCCCAAAAACGTATAATTTAGTCACAAAACTCCTGTTTTAGAAGAAATTAGTTTTCTTTCTCACTCTAGAAATTCTTTTCTATGAGCACTGGTTACTTACTGCTATATGAAAAAGTTAACCACAAAAGTATCTTCCTCTGAACAGATGAAGAATGAGAGAGCACACAGTAATTTTTATCACTTTTCTCAAAAAGCAAAAGCATTATTCCACTAGTCTAGCATACCCCAATTCTTTTTAAGTGCCACAAATGTTAAACAATCTATTACAGCAAAAGGGGGGTGGGGGGGACGACAGGTTCTTAGAAAATTAGAGCAACAAGCAAGACTACTTTGTCACATTATATAGATAATGCCATCTCTACTTAGAAAAAACATATTAGTTCAGATTGTGAAAATTCATTCAAAAAATTTCAGCTAATTATTTTTCCTAAACACCAACTTTATTGTAGAGGATTCCCACCTGGGATCCCACCTTCTTAAATAAAAAAGTGCACAGAAAAAAAGGGGATTTAGAAACCTTTGTGTAATATCTACATCTCGGGCCCCCAGGGCAGGAAGGGGGAAATTGCTAGGTGGACTACAGGGGTGGGAGCAGAGCCTTTGTATCTGTAAGCCCACATCCACCCTAAATATGAGGGTGGGGGCAAGATGATCTTGGAGGGACTAGGGAGACCCCAAACCAGGGGCAAAATGGCAATGGGAATGGGAGTGTGGGGGGCAGCAACTAGTGCTTCTAAATTCTGAATGTACATATAAGCAACCAATCATGAGTCAACATTCTTTGAGTTAGATCTGCTTCTGGAATAAAGATAAGGATAGTGAGCACTAACAGAATTCATTCTCAATCATCTCCTACCATCTCCTATATACATCAAGTCTAATAAATGTTCAATTCATACGATATAATCAAGTAATTACCTGTTTCACTTATTTATGCATATTATTAAATACCATAATGAAAGAAGTTAGCTTGAAATGCAGGCAGATATGGTAGGGGTCCAGTGGAAAACAAAGGCACATAGGGGCAGACATGGCAGTGTGAGCAAGCCTAATCACAGGAACCAACCTAGCAGAAATAATAAAATGTTTCTGGACTCAAAGCAGGAGGTATGGGAAAACAGGGAGAGCCTACAGTCACAAGGTGTACAAAGGCATAGAAAAAGAGAAAGTTCAACATAGGAACAGAGAACAGAGAAAGAACACATAGAAACAGGGAAAGATCAGGTCTGTTGCTGGGCAAAAACAATTGAGGGAATCGATCAATTGATGACACAGATAGGCTTGTAGCAAATAGAAACCCTTGGACCACAAGGATTTAAGGGGCATCCCATTACTGGGTCCCCCTCCCCTTGCAGGGAGTCTGACTCTGCTTGTAATACAGTTTCCACACTTTTGCTTAAATCTTCTGGTCCATTCTTTCGAGTCACAAGACACGACCCCGGGGGAAAATCCTTGGCTCACTGTTCCAGTTATCAATAAGATGACTCAAAAACTAATGTAATAACTTGAGAATTATGTACAGAGTTTTAATAACTATACTTTTTATTAAAAATGTTCCACTTTAACCTAAATTTTAATAAATTACAAAAGTACAGATTTATCTAAATTTATATTAATTTTTAAAAAAACACTGATATGTATACTATTAGAAAAAGGTCAAAAGATAAAGTCTAATTTCTACCAATGACTCATTATACAACTGATCATAAATGCAAGTGAAACATTTTTCTGGGTCCCTTAAGTCCTAAAAACTAAGGGAGCTGGTGTATGATCTACTTTTTTTTCCCAGTTCAAAAATCCTATGACTGTCAACGCTGAGTTCTATTCTCAAATGTATCTCACAATGAGAGTTAATGGTAGCTACGTTAATTTCAAGGCCCTTTGATACCTATCTCTTGGAGCTAAAAGGAAATCCTTAATGTCTAGTTGTCTCATATCCAACAGTTTCATATTTCGTGCCATTCATATCAGTATTACATCACAGACATTCCTAATTTACATGTTTATAAAATAAAATTTAAGGCAGTAAGCAGAATAATGCCCTCTCCACAAAAAAAGATAACTACACCCTAATCCCTAAACCTGTGAATGTTACCTTTCATTAAAAAAAAAAAAAATTTTTTTTTTTCATTGCAGTTGTGATTATTGTTAAGAACCTTGAGATGGAGCAATTACCCTAGAATACACATGAAGGACTAAGGAGTCTGTAAAAGCAGAGAAGCTTTCCAGGCTCTGTTCAGAGAGAAGTTACATTATTGGTTTTGAGGGTGAAAGAAGGGAGTCTAGAACCAAGGAGTGCAGGCAGCTGTTAGAAGTTGAATGGAGAAAGGAAATGAATTCTCCCCTAGAGTCTCTACAAAAAAAATTTAAGCCCTGATGGGCCCCTTGATTTTAACTCAGTAAGATCCATGACAGATTTCTGGCCCAAAGAACTGCAAAATAATAACTTTGTATTATTTTAAGCCAGTAAATTTGTAGTAACTTAATAGCTAGAAAACGAATATTGCACATCAAAGAAAATTCTGGAGAAACATGTCAGTAAAAGCAGACTTTAAATTTTTATAAAGAAAATATATTTATGAATTACATAAGTAAAATTAAATTTATCTGTTCAAAATTCACTAGTCATAAAATCTGATTTGATTATTAATGCATTACTTATATATCATTTTTATTAATAAAATTATTTACATACCTAATTGTTCAATAATACTTGAAACCATCCCAAGAGGCTTTAATTCAATATCTTCAGGCAAAATAATAGTGAGTTCTTCAACTGAAGGTAGTTCCTATTATATTAAAAAAAAACATTAATCTTCCTCCAGCTTCAACAAACTTTAAAAAAAAAATTAGCTTCCATTTAAATACTATTCACATTTATAAAAATGCAACATTAAGTACTTACACCATCCCCTTGATATAATCCATTTTAGTATCGAACAGCATTTCTCCCACCTCCATCTCCCCATTTAAGTGACATAATATGTTGTGCCCACTCCCTAACCCAGATAGACTGAGAATATAGACAGAAGTACCATTCAAGATTTTCCCAATCACACTTGAACAAGAGACCAATAAAAAAGAAAAAGGTATTGTTAAGGAATCCAAGATTAAAAAAAGAGACAATTCACATAATTCCCAGAGACATTCCATTTGAGAAGCATTCCATTTGAAAAAAAAAAAAAAAAAAAAAAAAAACCGGTTCCACTGGTCACTCACTAGTTTCTCCAGAGAAAGAGTTCTCTCTCTTAGCTGCCTTGATTTGATTAATCAATTAAATTTACTGTGATTAAGTTGTTGAACAGAGATGCAGCAGTCCTTTCTGGGGCTTTGTGAAAAAAGAGTTAAGTGTCTGGTCTCTTTAGGAAAAAATACAGAATTCCTGGAAACCGAATGTAGGCATCAGCCCAGGGAAAAGTGTTGAAAGTGTTGCCTGTTTTCTTCCCTCCTTAGGTTAAAAACCAAATTTTTAACATCAGAAGATTTCTTTTTTCTGATCCAGCACCTAATTCAGTTGCTATAGAAACTAGACATTGAAGTAGAGATGAAATTGAAGAAAAATCTAAGACTGAAACGGGCCGTAGCCTTTAAATTAAATAAACATAGCTTTCTTTCTATTCTTGACCTTTGCCAAAAGATCACAATTAATGGCATGTTAGGAGTTAGTTTGGGAGGAGAAAGATAACTTCTGGATAAATGTTGAAAAAGGTTGGAAAACCTAAATAATACAGTGTTATTACAGATGAATGCATCATGGGTAATGAATTTCCTCTACAGGGACTCAAAAAAAGTTTTTAACAAAACCACTTACCCAGTATCAAAGCATAACTTGCTTCAGGGAGGTGCTATTTTCTGATCAAGGATTACTTATAAAGAGCCTCACTAAGGGTCTTAAGCAACGCAATGCAGAAGACTTAGCTCTGTATGGCTGTGGAAGGAATGATTGTGTTTTACATACCAGAACTTTTCTGTACTTTTAGGAAGAGGACAACCACTTGTCATTTTATCATATTAAATACAGAGAGTCTTTTCTTGGCAAGACCATTACTTGAAAGTGGTCCATGTGTATCAGAATAGTGAAGAAAGTTCAGTTGTTAGAACTAGTAAGGGACATGTGATATAAAATAGCCTTGTTTATGAAATTCTTAGCTAAAGAAACCCCACACCCCGTGAAATATAAGACTGGAAAACTATAATGTCAAGAGACTGCAGACAGCAGGGCTTTAATGATATTTTAGAGGGAAAACTGTCATACGGATCCCACACCGATTCTGGTTCAGGGAGTGGCACCTCTTACAATTGGCCAATGGTATTTTTAACACAGAAGTATAGTGATGAAATCTGCCCTGTTGCCCACCCAAATTACAGGAAGATCTAGAGGAAAAACTGTCATTACTTTTGGACTATGATAGATCCTACTAGATAAAATCAGGAGTGTGCTGGTAGAAGAAAGGGTAGGGAAATCTCTGAGAGAAGTGCTGTTAGATCTTTAATAAAATATCTGAACTCGATAGAAGTACAGACCACATGCCATTAACACTTCAGAGACAAAAATCAATGCTATTCTCAAATACTAAATAAATGTTATTTGACCACAAAATGAAAGGTTCCTCATTCTGTATTTTCTATTAGGAGGAATAAAATCCCATGTAATGTAATTATGTTTTGATACAAATCTAAACTTGATACTGTTTTTGGCTTTTTAAAACTTTAAAGCATAAAACTAATACAAGTATCTAGGTTTTTTTTTTAAAAAAGGAAACAAGTAGTAAAAAAGAGTGCAAAATAAAAAGAAAAAAATTCCCCTAATCTATTCCTTTCAACCTCGCAATTCCTCTCCATAGATTGTTGTTGTTAAAGTCTTTCAAATATATTTACTATGCAGATATAAACTTCACATTACTAACTTTAAAATGTTTCACTTAAATAAAATAGACATCGTGACATAAGCTATCCTTTTCACCTATTACATCTTACACATCCTTCTACACCAAAACATAAATATCTATCTAATTTTATTTAAACATTCTTATGGTATTCCACTATATAGCTATACCATAATTTAGTACACCTGTCACCTAATGAAACACCTGCCTTCAAATTTTTACCATTACACACAATGAAACAATATTTATTCTTTCACATGTATTTCTGAATAAGCGCTGTGATAAATTCTCCTAAGTGTAGTAACTGCTAAATCCAAAGACATGAGCATTTTTAATTTTGACAGGTTCATTCCAAAAAGGTTACATCAATTCACACTTCCACAAATTATATATACGTACGATTCTTTTATATAAGAATAAAATCACAAGGATTTTCCTACATCCTTGCCATCATTAATAAGCCATCACTAATAAGCAAATATTTTCCAGTCTGATGGGTCTAAAACAGTATCTTGTTTTAATTGGAATTTCTTTATTAATCAAGAAAACTGAATATTTTTGCATGTTTTCTGGCTATTTTTATGTATTTATGAATTGTTTGTATATTTTACATGGTTGTCTTATCTTTTTATTAATTTATAAGATAACTCTAAGTTTTTAAGAATGTCTGCCCTTTATACAAATACTAGAGACCTGGTGCACAGATTTGTGCACCAGTGGGGTCCCTTGGCCTGGCTTGCGGGGACTGGGCTGAAACCGGCTCTCTGACATCCCCCGAGGGGTCCTGGATTGCTAGAGGGTGGTTCTCGGGTGACGCACCCTGGAATCGGGCTCCCTCTCTCTGGTTCCAGGTACGTCACCTGAGAACCGCAGCTGCCAAGTTATTGCAGCTCGGCAGCTCCTGTGTTGAGCATCTGGCCCTGATGGTCACTGTGCATCATAGCTACTAGTCGGACGGTCATTTAGGCTTTTATATATATATAGAATAAATGTAGCAAATACCCACTCCCTCACCTCCCAGCATATTCTTTAGCATTTGTTGTGTAATGAACTTTAGTTATTTTAATTTTTATGTAGCAAATATATCAATCTTTTCTTTTCTTAGCTTTTTGAGACTTGTGTAAGTTACATTTAGAAAGACCTGCCCTTGATGAAATTAACTTTTAAAATTCACTCATGTTTTCATTGCTCTTCTAGTTTCATTTTTAATATTTGCATATTTGGTCCATTTGTGATTTTATTCTTATATAAAAGCAAGGCAAAGATTGGATTTATTTTCATCCAAATTATTAGCCAGTTATCCCCACACATTGAAGAATAATCCATTCATCTCTTTTCCCTACTGATCAGAAAAACAAATTTTAACATATACTAAATGTACTTATACATTTCGGTTTTTGTTGAAGTCTCCATTTGGTTCTACTGATCTATTTCAGTGTCAGTACTAAACTATTTTAATAACTGTGCCTTCCATATTATGTTTTAATATTTGGGAATAAGAGCTAGTTTCCCTATCCACCCTCACAGCAATATATTTCCCCTTGGAATTTTTCTAGCTATTTGCACATATTTACTTCACTAAACTTTAAAACCAGTTTGTTATATTAGTGTTGTTAGTGTCAATTAAAATTATATTTAATTACAGTTGTCTTCCTAAAGGACCTACATAGTCATTAGGCTTATTCAAAGCCATTTTGTACCTTATTTGCTATTATAAGTTACTAGGTATTTAATGTTTTTTACTGCTATTATAAATGGATTCTTTATAGAGTACTATTTAAGCACCAGAAAACATCATGCTGAAATTTGTGTCTAGTGATTTTCTTATGTATTCACTATGTTATATATTTTAAAAATATAAGTACTCCTTCTTTTCAGTATTAGTACATCATATTTTTCACTTTTCAGCATTGGTTGGTATTTCCAGAATGTCAAGTACCAAGCAATTGCGATATGTCCAACTCTTTATTAGGAACTTTTCAAATGGTTAGCAAAAAGATACATTTTTATTGGAATTTCTTTCTAATAAGATTAAGAAAGTATCCATCTATTCCTATCTTACCAAGTTTTATTTTTCAAATCAGAAATGATTATTGATGTTTATCAAATGCTTTTTTATCATCTTTTGAGATCACTATAATTTACTCTGAGTTAAGCAGGTCAGTCTATACAGTCTGATGAAGTCTCTGCTCTAAAAATGTCTATGAAACATCCAGCATGAGGAATATAAGGGAAGATGCACAAAGCCAGAATATTTGTAGTGTGTAAGGACCGATATTTATGGTCAAAAACAAACTGGCAGGCCCCCTTAATTCCTGTTGCTACCCTATTTTGACCGATGTATGAACAGAAATAAAAGTTTTGCCCACAAACGGGCAAGATCTCTGATTTCATATAGAACCAAACTTAGGGGAGAAAACACAGGCACTGTGATCTGTGATCACCACCATACTCTTAATTCCAGTTCAATGATCCCAGTACGTTCTTAACACATGTATATACACTTTCCTGAGCATTCCTTAAAGAAGCCAATGAAGGCATTATGTTGCCTCTTAATAGAAACAAACCTGCCTATAAAAGTGTTGTGCATAAAATCTCTATCCAAAATATCTGCAGAACACAAAAGCTATATAAAGAACTAAATATTTTACATGAAACATGTCTGACATGAGTGGAATCAATAAGTGAAATCAAGCCTGTACAATTGCAGGTTGAAAGCCTATTACAGAGTTTGCCCTGGAAAGTCCAGTTAAATCAAGCAGTATAGTACTGTATTTGCTTTGAAAATGGCAGACATTTTGGGACCAACCAAGGGAGAAAAGATACGTTTGTGTTTTTTTAAATGAGCATGCTAGAAAAGTAGGACAAAAGGGGGAAAATATCCCAAACTCCATCAAGAAATC